AGTACGCGCACGGCGTTGCCCGTGGAATCAGGACTTCAACAAAATGAAAAAAAAAAAAAAAAACCGCCCACAATGACATGAAAAAGTTTTGAAAAAAAAATAAAAACAAAAGATACACATTATTGATTTTCCCGGTTATTATTTTTTCGCGATAAACAATATTAAAAAATTGCAACGTGAAAATTATTATACTGCAAGCAAAGTATGCGAGATGAATAAATATGTTAAGATACTGCCGAAAATAATAATCAGTCACCCAATTCAAGGTTATGACGCCACCTCCCCTTCAACCAATCACATAGCCAGCTGCGTTCCGGAAAAATGTCGCGGAAGAAATTAGCTCGAGAAAAATAATTTTCATCTGCCCAGGAAAAAATTAATTAAAAAAAAGCGGGAAAATATATTTTAACCGTTCTTGTTTTAAATCCGACAGAACCGTTCTAGTTATAAGCTGAAAAAATTGAAAATAATGGTGTTATTAGAAAGTCGAATGCAACAAATTTAAAAACAAAAATAGCATTCCGATGGTAAAACTGACTATTTATTTAAAAATTTCTCAAAATTCAGTAAATTACGTTAGAAATTCAAAACTAACTTCATTAGAACGGAAATCGCATGCTCTTTCCGATGGTGTATCTATTTTGTTCGTACAATTATCTAAAATCACGCTATTGATAAATTACTGCGAAAAATCAACCATAACAACACAAAACATTAAATAAATTTTCAAGATTAAATTTTAAAATTCCGGCTTCGAGGCGCATTCAGTCACCATTACGACTACCTGTGTGCCAAATTTCATGGCTGTAAGTGCGATAGATTCGTCTGGACATCGCAGACAAACACACGCACACAAACATTGCCTTTTATAAGTATAGACGAGTGATGATATCATAATCGCTAAATGATATCATAATTTATGTTGATATGAGCTTCCAAATAATCTAAATAAACAGCTGAGAAATTTCGCATCGCTTAACGAGGGCATCTTGAATTGTGAATTGGGACCCCAATTGAGGAGGCTTAAAGGAATGTAAGCATAGACAAAACTTGTAATTCCTTTCTTTGAAATGTTTAAGTATTTGTAAAGAAAAATTGTTAAGAAAAAGAAATTGATGATAATGTTGCGGGTTTTTCTTTCTCGTATACGAAGTATACTAAGAGAAAGTATTGTAATCGTCAAAAAATTGGAACTCGAGATTTTGATGAATTTCACGTTTTAAACCTCCTTGAGTCCGAAAAATACAATTTTGGAATTATGTTTGTCTGTCTCTGAACACGATAACTCAAACACTATTAAAGCTAGCGGGATGAAATTTGCTATGTGATCTTTACACATAATTTGCAGGTGTCTATCAAATTTTTGACAAAATCCGTACACGGGAAGTCGGTCTGTCCGCGTTGATGTGAA